CACTGAGGACTTCTTCTTACCTTTGCAGCAGCCTGGGGGCTGCTGGTAAAAACTATCCCAGGGCTGACGCAGAATCATTTTGAGATAGCATGCCTGTGCAGAACCACCCCCCCCCCCCAAGAGACAAAACAGATGTAGTGTTTTAATTTCACATCTTTCATACTTTGAAATTATTGTAGTAAACAGGAGCTAGAACACACTATTAACCTGACCTTGCACATATGATGAATGCTTGCATGGAAATTTTCATAAGGCAGGGAATGTTGTTACTTAGTCCTCTCAGCAGCAGAATGACAATGTTAAAGACAAACTCATGCATTTGTAACGTTATATGGTCAAGGAACACAAAAAAGTTCAAGTATTCCTGAAGAAAAAAGGTAGAAATTGCCCTTGGGTTGACATAATTTCCACCATCCACATGGAGTTACACTGCATGTACTGATGGTATTTAAGTGAATACATAAGGCAACATGTAACTTACAGTCAAATAACAGGATTTTTAATTACTATTTTTATTATTTTTCAACATACAACTTTATGTCAGCTATGAAAGTTGTGAAATGGTAATAAAACTGTGAACTGAAGAGGGAAAACACTCCACTAATTTTGCTTCTTTTTCTTAAAAAGAATACATTTACATCACTTACCATGACTAAGGTGGACAACAGTTTGATGAACCATGTAATAAAATGTAGCATATATTTAGGGAAAATTAAAAAAACAGAAAAGAAACCAATCCCATCGACAGCATCATGGAAAACCCTTCATTACTCATTGTCAAGAGACAGAAATGAAATCTCTAGGCACAGTTTTAGGCATTATAGAGGACACAGAGAGGCAATAGGTTAGTGTGCACTGTTCTGTACAAAAATACAGTCTGAATAAATTACATTGCTAGCCATAAGATTAAACTTCACTTATCAGTCATTTCATTGCATGTTCAATAATATACAGTCTACATGCTAATCCATATATTTATTTATGTAATTATTTATATATATATCTATATCTCACTTATATTTCAAACACATAGATCTCTCTATATTTATTTATGTCTTTAAAATTTACATGTTAAGCTTACAAAAGCTAAACGTAGTTGTGCAAGAAATCCAAAGGGGTGCTACATACTTGCCAGCACCGGACGGCATAATTTAAGCTTTAAAAATACAAATATCTAGCCCTGGTTGCAACTTGGTTCTGCGTGTGCATGTGTCGGTGTATGCATGTGCATGCACACACACATTTGCAAGGTAAAACAATATGTGTGTTGTGTAAGAATTCATCCTGCTAGTGATATAAAGTCACATACAACTGAAGTGCTAACACTTGAATACAATGATAACAATTACACATTAAAATGTGATATTTCACCCATACAGCAAAAAACTTAAGTGTTTATTTTTTCAAAGAGAAAGAGGTATTTCTGCTTTGCATTGCACCTACTTGTAATTTAGTGCTGAAATCCTATTTTTGATTGAATTACTTAGGTTAAAAATAATGTATAAACGAGGCATTAAAATCTGTATTTATATGACAAAAATGGACTGGGCAAGATTTTGTCATCATAATGTTTATGTGTCAATACATATAAGCTTGCTCTCAGCATTATGCTAGGAGCTGTTGTGCCTCATTCATCAGATGAGTAAATATTTCAAAAGGGACAGCTATCACAAGACTAGCTCTTGTAGTTTGGGGTAGGGGTAAGGCCCTTGCTTGGTATGTCCATTGCATCTTCCTTGTTTATGCAAAGCTTGGCATGAAGACCCAATACAATAGTATGGAATTAAATCAGGCCACATCCTTATTGCATCACCTAAGGTTGTGCCAAACATGAAAAGTTTAAATCCCCTTACAAACTGGACAGTGGGGACTGACACCACACTAGTTTCCAAAGCAAATGATTCAAAACCACAGTTCAGAAAGGAAACTTTTCTACCTTGTTGACAGTAATTTCTAAGGAAGTAGCAGGAACATCCTTCACACACCAAACAATATCTAATGGTATACTAACGAAACTGCACTCCTTGCTATAAACTTTGTAAAACCAGTCCAAGTGCTTTGGAAATCATTGAGTTATTAATTCATAGTCTCCAATTTGTTAGCAGCCCACACTTATTTGGGATTAAACTTTCTGTGGTCACTGCATTTTCAATTAATTTAATAAAGATGTAGCCTGACTTAATTCCATATTGTGGTCTCAATCCACACACTAAGGGATGGGACAAATTCAATCCTGAATTGACATCTTATAGTGCTTCTGAAGGCCACCCAATTTGATTCAGGTTTCTTCCTATGGTGAGACTTATCCCACATAATACCACACTGATTCTACAAATTCCTCATATGAAAAAATTTACAGAATAAATCGGACTTATTGTTACCATCTCACTGTGTAAGAGAAGGTACTAGTAAAGAACGAGACAAGATTCATGCCACTCCAATCACTTGAAGCTAATATTATAACTGTTGTATTGAATTGTTGTAACTGCAGTATGAATCCCACATAGTGGTACTGTCTCTTCAAACATTATCTACTAAGTATGAACCAGTAACCTTGTAAAAAAATAAAAATATGATGCTGCTAAAAGGACTGTTTCCAGCTGTCAGAACTGGAGTAATCACTCAAACTCTATCTAGTTTATATTTGGAAATATTTCGTTGGGCCTATTATAGTCCCTCATATGCTGAAATCAACAATCTAGTTCTGCTTTGGTTTCATGATGTGAAATATGGAAATATAAAGGTTGCAATCTAAAATGTACTGACTTCAGGAAATTCCACTAAATCCAGCATGACTGATTAGGACCTTACTAAAAGGCAATCATTTTGAAGTTGGGGAATTGTGTGCCACTGGCTTTACTGGGGGGGGGGGGGCACTAAAAAGAATTAATGATTAATCTTGGCTGTGGTCCAAGAAACCTGTCCCTAAATTGCAAGGTGAGTGTACCTCAGCTTCATCTTCTAACCATATTCCCCTCTTGGTATAATTAGTGATACAAATTCAGCAGCTATCATTTCTATTTTCTTCCAATAGAATTTGTAATACTGAAAAGCTAAGGCAGAAAACTTGTCAATGAAGGGGGAAATGCACAAACAGCAATCTCTGTCACACATCTAGAAAGAGCATGTGAATGAATAGTATTTGGGGAAAAATGGAGGAAGTTATGCCACAGAGTTGGCATTATGTTTGCCTTGTTGCTTGTTTCCTTGTCACTAAACAAGAGATCGGTGACATGGCATTTGAGAGGTGCTACTGGTTTATCTAGTCCAGTATTATCTGCTATGTAAGAAACTTCCTCAGTTTTTTCCCCAAACACTATTAACTGCTGCTCAAGGTGGAACCTGGGCCTTCCTTCATACCGAGGCATTCTCACTGTTACCTTAAATGCATACAAGTGTGCACAATAAAAAGACAATACCATTTACTTTGGAATGAAGTGTGTGGCATAATTGTTGGCACCTTTAGTCATGACTGCTCTTAACATTGGTTCAAAATTTCAAACTTTGTAGTGACATCCCTGCATATCAGAGAAAGGGCTTTACATTCCTGCAGTGCCAGAACCCCATGTCATATTTTTATAATAACACAGCCCAAAGAACAACAATTGGTGTCTTGGATTTTAGGCCTATTCCTGGGCTTATTTGCAGTGCTGATTTTAAAAATTGCATTGGATAGACCACATCAGCTCTAATTTCTTAGATATGGTTATCACGATTTTCTATGGGTGAGCAGATGACAACCAGTAGATGGCATATGTTCTGTATCTCAAAACCTAGAGCTGATAGGATAAATGTGCCAGTTTTGGAATCAGCAGGTCAAATAAACCCAGAAACAGGGCTAACATTTAAGGCACCAAAATATGTGTTGATCAGTGTAATTGCCTCTTTACTTGTCGCACCCAATTGAAAATAGTTTGGTTTGTGTGGCCTGCAGTCACCAGTAAACTACAGTCTTAAATATCCTTAGGTACAGGGCCATAGCCAGAAAAATTTGGGGGGGGGGGTTGAAAATTTCAGGGGGGGGGGGGTTGAAACCTGCCTCCTAGCTCACGCTGAAGCAAAGAGCACAGCAGGGGGCAGAGCAGCCTTCAATAGCCTGCAGCTCCGCCCCTGTCAACCACCTCCACCAAGTCTGGCCTCCTTAATGAGAGCATTCAACACCCCCCCCCACCCAACTTGGTTGCTTCGCTACATCGGCTATTGCTGCAAGTAATGACAGTGTGAATAAATTGTCAATATTTGCTTGAGATAGTGCTTGCAGTTCTGGAGGGACTCTTAATTTTTTGCATCTCATAGACTTAGCATGGGGATTTGGTTAACCAGTTAAAATTCATGAGTAAACCAGGGTGTTTTTAACCAGAAATTTTTCAGGGGGGGGAGTTGAACCCCCCCCCCCCCCCCGGGCTACAGGCCTGCTTAGATACCACTGGAACAAGTTGAACATTTCCCCCTAATTCTTCACATTGTCTGTTTCTTTTTTGAATGAACACAGAGCAGAGGTGAGCAACAAACATGTGCCTGTCTTTCACCTTTGGCAATGCCATGTGTTTCTTAGCCATTTTTAAAGAAATAAAATGGCATTGAAGTGAATGAAATTTGTTTTGCCTTGGCAGAGGCTCCCAGCATCTATCAACATGGATAGTATCCTTAGGCTGGGGAGAAAAAAAGAAGTAGGGATAGCATGAAAAATCTGTAGAGATCTTATACTTCCACAGTTACACTGAATATGTAGGTAGTTACTACTACCCCGTATTCACACCCAGCACCCAACTTTGGATGCATTGGAAGTATTTGTATCTAGAAAATTGTAAAAGATCAGAAACCTGATTCTAAGGTTAAAAAATACCTTGGTTTCTAGTAATGTATAAATATGTATAACTGTTACTATATTGTTTGATATTCTGCAGAACACTGTTTCTCTATGTCTGTGTGATCTATGTTAATTAAATACTTATACTTTCGAGGTTTCTGTTTTAAGAAATATAAATGTAGAGCAACAATACTGAGCAGCAGTTTTATCATTTTGAATATTATGCTCTTGGAGGATACAATTTTAATTTCCATGTAGCAAAAATAACTGTTTCTATATTTGTATATTAGAACAGTATATACTATACAATTTTTTCAGAATAAATTGAAAATACCCAACAAAATGATATAAACAAACATAAACCCTAAGTTTTATATATCAATTTAAAATATAGTTTAAAAGACTTCACATAGCTTTTGCACAATTTCAAGATGTAATAAATAAAAAATTCAACTAAGTGTTAGTGAATCCATCATGCTAAAAGGAGAAAGCATTATCATTTTTATATACCATGATAACAATGTATAATTTTCAGAATTAGTTCCCTGCTAGTCACCTCATAGAAAGGATACACTGGTTTAATTATTATTATTTTTTAAAAAAAATCTAATCTAAATTAAACAGGAATTTTTCAAATGGCCACAACTCCCAACCCCCAAAACAATGTCTTATCTATGACACAGAAACTATTATTTATTGTTGTAGTTCTTACTTCCACTGAGGCTTTAATTACTTTTTTTTCATTATCAGTATTGCTTTGAACCACGGACACATGGACAATCATGTCACTCCATAAATTCACAAAAACTTCTCAGGTGGGCAGCTACAATTTAGAAATTACAGCTGTATTTCTTTTAAGTCTTCTTAATATATTAATATCTAGGAATGCTTCCATTTAAAAAATAATACAAATACGTTCTTACATTTTTTTTTATATTCATCTGCATCAAAATGAAACAATGGCTGTGTTTGGCATCATGATAAACTGTGGTTTTTTCCAGCCTCTGTGAACCTACAGTTTGCATGCTTTCTGCATTGTAGCTACAATGAACTTCCGCTTCAATTTTTTGATAAAGTACACTTTTGTATTACATCTAGGATTCAAACTGGTTAAAATTGACTATAATTTCTTGAAATCAACCAGCTCCACAATTCGCTGTTGTCTTGTTTCCAACAATGTTTAAGATTAACTACAGTTTTTAAAGTTTGGTTTAAAAGAGAGGGGGGGGGGAGAGAGGGAGAGAGAGGGAGGGAGGGAGAGGGAGAGAGAGAGAGAGAGAGAGAGAGAGAGAGAGAGAGAGAGACTAGAACTGAAAATTTCTCATCTGTACCTTACAGCTGTTCCAGATTAAAAGGAGGTGGGCGAGACACTGAAAGCATGAGGCTCACTATGGCTCTTCCCACCATAATAATTTGGCATAATATCCAAATGCATTCAGTGCCATGCTCTTTAGCTTTTCAGGAATAAAACCACAATTCATTCTTATCTAAATTTTTACAGATGGCACACCAGGGTTTAGATCAAGCAATATGAGATGCAATATATTATAGGAAGGGGTTCTCCAAAATATTTCAAGCCAACTCAATACCCAGAGAAGACTTGTGAAAGTTTAGATTCTTATTTACTATAGCTAATATAGGATTAGCTCACAATACTTTTATCTTTATAGTAATAACCAATAAACATCTTCTATAAAAATAGTGGGAATGTTGCTTATGAAACATTTGCCACAGTGTTTTGAAATCAAAATATGCTCTGGAAAATGCAGCGCATGCATGTCTCTCACTCTTTATTCTTTTGAAGGAGTCAACAGATTCAGTGTGATTCTTCATGTTATTTTCAATACTCGGTTACATCTGAGACATAATGTCCAACCACATAATTAGAAGAATATGTTCCACATTCTGACTTCCTGATATACCACCAATGGCTGGAAAATGTAGAGTGCCAAACATATAAGCTTCTCTTGCCAGGAAATTGCTGAGTGTATATATTAATTATCTTCACTCTTCTCTGCATCTGGGCTGCTTAGAGGTTTATTTCAACAAGAATCCCAGGGAGCCAATACAACATGGAGGCAGAGACTGATGACTCTCTAGAATATTGGAATCATATGCAATATAAACAAGCTTCCACATGATTCTTGTCCCAGCAACTCCTTTGAAGTCTACAGCCAATGCAGGTAGCCTATGTTTCATTCCATCTAATTTTCTCATGAAGGCTGAGGCCATCTGCATCCATCAATGGTGCTGATCTTCCCTTATCAAAGATAGTGTATCAGCAGCTTACAAAGTTGCCTATGGACTGATCAGTAAGTATGATTTTTGTTATTCATTTAACAGGATGTTAAAAAGCTACTTGCAGTAGTTGTAGCCAAAAGGTAAAAGTTGGTAAATCAATATAGCAGACTGACACTCTACAAAAGTTCTAAAAACACCAAGTTAGAAAAGACATAACTATCTTTGTGTTATTCATTTCCTTTTGTTTTTTTTTAAAAAGTAGCTTCCTTCAATAGTAGTCTTCATAGTTTTTGGGGTTCAAGCAGTAAAGTATGGCACCCCCAAATGAAAATATAGTTGCACCCCAGGCGAGGCCATAGCCCCAGTTGAACTCATGGTATATTCTCAAGTTGACAGTTTCGATGAACTTGATTGGGTAAAGGACGAGGCTGCACACTTGAAGAACCACTGGGGGGGGGGGGGAGAGAAAAGGGGAAAGAACAAATATGAGTTTTTTAAAATTTCCTTAAAAGAAATAAAACAGCATTTCTGCAGGATCATTTCATTTATTCATTTTAGATCCAATGGTGACTGTCAGTTTCCATGCTGATAGGAAAGTGAATCCACTCTGGGGTTTAAACTAGATTCTGAAGATGATGCTGACTCCCATCTTCAAATTAGTTTCAGCACTAGGGCAATTTATTTAAGTTTGAACTGAAACCCAGGATGGATTTACTCTCCTACATTCATAGAAACCACTAGTCCCCAAGATTAGAACCATATATGCTCATTATTATATTATATAAAGCTCTTTCTGAATTCTCTAGTGGGGTATATAATAGTGGCATAAAAAACCACTCACAATGAAGAGAAACATCTTATTCAGTAATTTTAGATAACAATCAAAAAACGATATTAACCACAGCAGACAAAAAACAACAACAAAGTAAACCAGTATTTTGCTCAGGCATGTATATTTATAGTGTTGGATGGGAACTGGTGGAAATAGTTCTTGAAGATCGGAAAGATAGTAGTATGTTACTGCTAAGGCTACAGGTGGTAAGCTTCTTTATTCCTTCTCCTTTATTGTCATACAATAACATTTCTGCAACTTCAAGTGATAGTAGGGTTGCTCAGGCAGTTTGATGGTATCTTGTTTTTATTTCCCAGCAGAAGCCCAGGTGGAATGATGCTGTATCAAGAAGCTGCTGAAGCAGCATCATTCTTGAAGTATTGTAAGTGGGAAAAAGCTGGCTGCTCCATATGCCAAGGCTGTGAGAAGGGGTGGTGTCAGAGAAAAGGGGGTTTACCCTCTGTCACAAAAGATAGAAATCTTGCTCATGAAAAATATTGTTTAAGCATATTCCAACACATCGCCATGAAAAACAAAGTAAACACTAGGCTGCAAAGATGACAGGGACATTTGGTCAAGTTTCAAATAATTCTCAACAAAATACTTGAAAAAGAAAAAGAGAAACAAGTAAAAAGGAAAAACAACTAAGTAATTAAAACAAAGTAAACTCAGCAATTAAATCACTTTTTTTTAAAGCATAGAGCCATTTATCTCCTCAAGGCATAGTACTCTACACACTTCTGTATAAGTCAACCTCATGTGTAAATTAAGAGCAAGTTTTGATGTCAAAATTATCCATTTTGATATGACTTGTGGATAAATTAAGGTTTATTCCATGGAGAGAGGAAAACATATACATACCTGGCTTCCACCACCACCATTTTCCTACCCAAGCATTCAAAAAGTCATTTCACTACTCTACTTAGAGAAGGAGATGGTTCCTTTTTTGATAAAAACTATTTTACAATATGAACTCTTATCAAAAAGGAACCATCCCATTTTCTGAGTAGAGTGGAAGAATGACAACAGCTTAGTCCAGTGGTCCCAACTAAGGCCCATGGGACAGATGTGCCCCTGCACAGTCATTTATCTGACTCCCACCCTAAACTTTAGACTTATGATTACCCTAGGTCTGAAATGACTTGAAGGTACACAACAACAACAGTCCTAATTAACTGGACTATCTCAGCAGGCAAAAGCAGACCCACACTTTCCATTAAAATACTGGAAGATTTATGTTGGCTAAAATTATTCTTCATTTTGAATATTGTATTGTTCTTTCATGGTTTTCTGCATTACAAATATGTGCCATTTGCATAGGATTTTTTTCAAACTATAGTCCACCCCCAATGATTCTCTACTATCAACTTCACTGAACTTGCCGCGTTGTCTGATTGCCCAATCACTGTTTTCCAAAGCAATTGCTCTACTCTCAGCTCAAGAATGGGAAATGGAATGTCGGTGGACAACAAAAGAGATTTAAAGACTGGCTTAAAGCCAACCTTAAAAATGTGGAATAGACAATGTGGAATAGACAAAAAGAACTAGAAAGCCCTGGCCTTCAAGTGTTTTAACTGGAGGTCAGCAGTTATCAACAGTGCTGTGGATTTTGATGAGGCACGAACAGAGAGCAAAAGGGAAAAACATGCCGTGAGAAAGATTCATCAAGCAAACCCTTGTTGGGACCACCTTCTATCTGGAAATGTCCACACTGCAAAAACAAAACAAAAAAATGCAGATCCAGAATAGCTTTCCACAATCACTTACAGATCCATCACCAAGACTCTACTCTTGGAAGGCAATCATACCTGACCACAAGTGATAGCCTATGATGATGATGACAAAATTAAAAAGAAAGGTTTTCTTTTTTCTTTTTGTATAGACCATTCTGTAAATTATAGTACTACAAAGATAACTAAACCAATGGTGCCTATAAATAGATTATAATGGACTTTTAAAAGGTAATGATGAAATGTAATCCAGGAAAGCTCATTTATTTTGTTTCTCTATGATAAGTAATATTACTTAGGACCTAATTATAACAGAATTCATATAAAATTGTGTATTAAATACAGAAACTTCCAAGTCAGATCATGATTAATATTTGTCATCATACCTATATCTGTCATATAACTATGTTCACTCTGATAATTTATATGTAATGAAAGTGCCCTGATCATTCACAATATTACAGTATTTGTTTTGGCCGAGATATATGATAAGAAATCCAATATTTCTGGTATGACACCCACAATTTTAATATATCAGTCTATGTATCCACCCCGGCACAATGTTCAGAAATAATTTCAATGTGGAATAAACCGTGTGAAGTAGCAAACTAACCATGGGTTTTCAATCTCAAATATCTAAACTATCCAGAACCATGAAACCCAAGTAGCATGGTTGAAACTCATGTTGTGAATTACATCTTTGAAAAGGTATCATTGATATTCATATCCAAAGCAAAAGAAAAAAAAAACCAAATCCATTTAGTTAGAAAATAATGAGTGTGTTCTAGACTATCAGGAAGCCATTTAAATACCAATAAATTACAGTAAATTAAATCCAACAATTAATCCAACCTAAAGTAGGTTCACTGAAAAAAGGGATCGAGTCTATTGATTCAACATCTTCAGCATTTTTCAGGCACTTTCAGTACCACTGCATTTTCAGGTTAATTTTCTTCATTTGCTGTTTAATAACTAGCTTGCAATGGTTTAATTGTTCCCATAGAGGAGAATGTGAAATGAGATCATGGGAGAAATCAGTCCCTTTTCTTTTGAAATCTAGATTAAAAGGAGGATAGACAACTGGGGTTGGCAAATACTGAATCGGACTTGGATGTGGCTATATGGTTGATAATAATGTTTTAAATGTATTTTAACCTAATGTTTTTACTTACTTTGTAATGTCTTGCTGTATTGTGTTTTGTATGTTTTGGCATCAGATTGTTGCCGTTGTAAGCTGCCTTGAGTCCCCTCTAGGGGGTTGAGAAGGACAGGGTACAAATGTTTAAAATAACAAATAACCTACAATCCAGGGTCATATATACCCTTCACTGGTGATTCGAGGATTGCATCTATATTCTGTTCCACCCCATACAACTTTTAATCCTTAAAAAGAACTTTCTAAATCCTCCCTTGCTTGTTTTAAGCTTTTTTCAAATAGAAAAGAAACCTGGAGCTCACTTCTGATTTTGAAGAGGACAAGCAGGTAGAATAAAGCTGGGATAGCCCAACTTTACAAGAGCAAAGGGCATTTGGTAAATAACTGGAGCACTGTAGGGCTTTAAAATTAGCCATTCTCCCAAACCTTTCTGTTGCTCAAGCAGAACAGACAGTTTTGTAAAGGGAATTAAGGAGATCAGTTTATTTTTGTAGAAAATGACTGTGCTAACAGTTTTGCAATTTGAGGATGCTCATGGCATGCCATTGCATCTGATGCCTCTGGGACAGCTCTGGCAATGAGAAGTGTTTCAGAAGACTGCCAAAGAGAACTGAGGCTGTTTCCCACCTGTCTTCTGGGCTGTCTAATGTATTTCATGTTTTGCTAATTGCCAAGCTAGATCACTCATTGTGCTCTTTATGGTTGCTCTTGAAAATGACATGGACACTTCAACAAATGCTTAAATGAATGCATTTGCTTTGTTTTGTTTGTTCATGTGTGCCTTCATGTCAATTTTTGACTTGTGATAACCCCATTACTTTCATAGGACAATGCTCAGAAGTGATGTCACCATTTCCTTCTTCTGAATTGTATTTTTTTTTTAAAAAAAGTGTTCTGTTAGCCATCTGAGTCCCATTATCAAGAGAAATATGGAATAAAAATGAATAGCAATAAAAATGAATACTAGAGGCTGTATAGTGCCTGTACAGCATCTAGTATTCATTGGCAGCCATCCATCCAATTACTAACCAGAGTTGACTCTGCCTAGTGTCAAAGATAGATGACATTTGGTGTTTTAGAATCATTTCTGGGTTTGCAAAAGGGGGAAATTTCCTGATATTTGGGAAACTCAGTTACATAAGAAAACACAGTATTTTGTATTTTCATGAAGTATTCATTTTCAAAAATACTTCTGCTTTTACCTCACAAAAATCCCCACTCATGAATATGAAAAGAGTGGGATGTGCACAAAAGTTGGAGTTTTAGCACATAAAAGTCCTGATTTCTGTACAGAATAATTTCTTGAAACACTATGTGTGAAAACCAGAGAACTGCAAGGAAGCGTTTGCTGTCTCCTCCCCTGCAATGGAAAAACTATAGAAATTTTTATGCTCACCTGAAAGGACCATCATAGTGAAATAGTAACATCCCTACTCATTAATGCAAACAAGTATGAATGTAATATGCGTCTTCACAGGCAACCAATTTATTTCTGGTCCTAATTTAAGCCACATCCCTAGCTAAGTCTAAGCTGAGGTGAGCAGTGGCTGTGAGCTGTCAACTAAGGGCACCTTGGAGCATCATACCTATCTCCATTATATAGCTGATTTTTAAAAATGTTTTTGAAACTCAAAAAAGTTTCCCTTAGAGACCATAAGGGGCAGCTTCACCATGTTTCATGGCTTTCTTTTCAGAATGCAAAATGGAAATCAATTATTTTATTCATATG